AGCGGGCAAAAAAAACTAGTAGTGACTAAATATAAATATAGTCATTATCAAATTAATGAAGCAAGCAAATATATTATGTAGTATTAACAAAGAGAGTTGATTAGAATTCTCGAAACAAAGAATAACAATATGATACTTTTTTCCTCCTAATTAAATTGATCTTTTTTTTTTAATCAGAGGTTTTAAATTGACTTTTGAAATTGTCAAACATGCAAAAACCACTTTAGTAATTCTTTAAATAAAATAAAAAAAAGTTTATTTTATCAAACGTGAAAAAACAGATGGTAAAAAATGGGTGATTATGTTGTCTTCCACTTACAATTATCTTCTCTCGGCTACGAGTCTAAAGTTAGTAGACGAAGCCATTCTCCTTTCCTCCGGAAAGATCTACAATCTCTTAATGGGTCATAAATTTAGCGTGAAAAAATAAAACCAAAAATTCATATCATTTTTCAATTTCAATGTGAACCCAAAATTTGTCTCTAATTAGATTGTATAGATGGACTTCATTTTTCTTTTTTTTTTCTTTTTTTCTTACATATAAAACTATATGATCTTTTTTAACTTTTTGATTTTTTTTTAGTTTTTTAAAGAAGGTTGAAAAAGAAAAAAACCCTTTTCAGAGAAAACCAAAAGGAAAGCTTCCATTCACCAAATTGTTAAAAAGCAAAAATCATTTTTTTCTTTTTTTTATTGGATTTTTTAAGGAAATTTTAACTTAGATCTATGCCAAGATTGTATTAAAAATAATAATAATAATAATAAGGTTTGTACATACCTGTGAACCAATTTAGATTTTAAATATCTTCTGTGAACCAATTTTTCGAAAGTTCTGTTTCGTACATTCCTGAACAGATCTGAAATATGTATTGATGCACAAGGTTTTATGGCTCCAACTGAGAGTCCTGTTTCAAACAAGATTAGGCCTCGATTTCTCTTCAATGACCACCATGAATAGGCATACTCCCACAATGATCACGCAGACAACCAATTCAGACAGATAAAATGTGTTTACATCTATTTAATTAAAAAAAAAATACTTTTATTAAATGAAAGCAGGATTTCCAAAGCCTTGTCAAATCCATACCGACCGCGATAATACCAGTATTGTCAAATACAATTCATTGTAAAAAAAGATTTTAATTCTTCAGATGGATGTTAGAAGATGTTGGTCACACATCAATGCAGTGTTTATCTTTCTCTTCATGCAACTTAGTCAAAACCTTCTATCGTATAAAAGCTAAAAGTTAAACCTTTTGTTTATCATATTCTACAGAGAACACTATAGTCTATTTATATATCTCTTTATATATATATATATATATATATATAGACTAATTTAATTGTTGAAGGGTCCTCTAACTAAAAAAAATTTATTTTACAGATACACAAAATCATCAAATTTTCATTCACTATAGTAAAACCATCATTTATTCTGCCATATTAGAAGTCACCTCATAGTTACCACATATTCAAAAATCATCATCTAGTTAGATGCCTCACTGGTAAAAAAAAAAAAGAAAAAGAGAAAAAAAACACGAATTCTTAGAAAATCGAATGTGATCCCTTGTTATCACGATGCATCATTTGAAATTAACAAGTGATTGATAATTAGACAACGGATATTAACCAATGCAGTGCATTTTTTATATAAGTCCGATGACAAGAAAATAGAAGGTGTTAAGAGACCCTCATTATGTTGGAGAACTTTAATCACTATTTTTTTATCTCATGCGAAAAAAGTCATTCCAGCCAATTCAAAAGTTAAAATTAAAACAAAACATTTTGAGTAATTATGATGATTTTAATGGAGTGATGGCTAAGGACAAGTATAGTTGGCATACGTGGAGAAACGCCAATGTTTCTTGTGGGTGTCGTGAAAAGAAGAATGAACTAATTTATATGGTGACATCTGTACTTTTAGGTCCAGAAAAATTCGATAAAGAAGGTTAGCAAATGTACTAGGATTTCTTTAGCCCAAAAAATAAGAATAATAAATAAATAAATAAAAAGGAAGAAATTTGTAACGTCCACAGGACGCAATTTCTATTGATCCATTGAGGACTATGATTATTCCCTTTTGTTCTTATTTACTTAATTAATTAACTAAATACTATAGTCTTGTCATTGTCGTGCTTTATTTGTCCTGATGCTGTTACCACTAAGACATCTAAAGATCTCTTGCGGTAATTATGGTGATTAGCGGTCTGATTTTCACGCATATATATATATTAAATTAATTTTCATATCAATCGAGATTAAATTAATCATTATCGAAAATAAATCAGTGATATACACTTTAATTTTGATCGACTATTAAACTGTTGTTTAAGATAAACTAATTCAAATTTTATACGACTAAAGAATAATTATGAGTAATTATTTATAAATAATAAAACTCAAACCATAGTTTTGATCCAATTAAAACAAATTTTTTTTATCACTAGGCTGTATCCTTTCACAATCTATACTGTATAGTTTCATTTGACTAATTTTCTTAAGCAAAACTTTGTAGTTCTTATAGCAAATCATTTTATTACATGACCTTCAAAATCTATTAATTTTTAATAACAACACAATATATTTTATAGGTGTTTTCCCAAATTCAGCAGTATTAATTGACAATTTGACACTCTTGGTTATAAGGCAGCCTCGCCACTAATGTGAGAAATTGCAAGTAGATACAGAGTTGAAACTAGTCGATTGTCCACGTTACGCTATGGGTCTAATAGAATAAAATTATTTTAAAAATTTTTAATTATAATTTCTTATTTAATTAATTTTTTTTAATTTTTTTTTATAAATTTTTTTGCTTAAAAAAGAACATAAGTCATTCTTATTTATGGATTGGTTTTAACTAAAATATTAATCAAGAATTAAAAAAATATATAAAATATATTTTTCATAATATTGTATTCCAAAAATAAAGTTATAATTAATAGATAGACTTTTATAAAAACTAACAAATGGGAAAAAAATTTTCTTATTTAATGCTGATGAGAAGATTAATTTTTAAAATTAACCGCATAACACTATGGGTCGATGGAATAAAATTATTTCAAAATTTTATAATTTTTTATTTAATAATTCTTATTTTTTTTGTGTTTTTCATAAAATTTCTATTTAAAAAAACATGATTTATTTTTCTTTATTTAGGGATTCCTAAATAAAAACTAGTAATATATAGTTTAAACCTCGAAATATTAATTAAGAATTTAAAAATAAATACTTTAAAAATATATTATTTTATAAGAATATATCCATAAAAATAAAATTACAATTAATGTATAGACTTGCATTAAAATTAACCTATGAAAAAATAAAATTTTATTCTTATTTAATGTTGATGAGAAGATTATTTTTTTAAAGTACATACATTTGATCTATATATATTATATAATCGTCGACTTGTGTGAAAAAAAATAATAATTGATTTTTAAAAATTTTAACACACAGTTAAATAAAAAAAAGAGTATAAATTGATGAAAAAATCAAAGGACAAAAAAAAAAAAAGAAGAAAAGGCATGTAGTGCATTAGCTAGGGATTAAAATTTTTATTTTAAAACTTTAGGGGTCAAAATGAAATAATTTGAAAATTACAAAAAAAAAAACCTAAGACAAAAAAGAAAAGAAAAAAAAATAAGAGTGAAAAAAAAAAAAAAACCTAAGAGTGAAGTACAAAAAAGGTTTTGGATAGTAAACTTTATTTAGCTTTAGTAGAGGAAGGATAAAAATCAAACATGATAAAACTTTAATAACTAAAATAAAAACATATCACAAAATAAGAATAAAAAAAAGAAAATAAATTTTTACAAAAAGCTAGGATAAAAACATATAACAAAATAAGAATAAAAAAAGAACATACATTTTTACTAAAAGCTAGGAAAAAAATTATATAGGTATAAAAATCGAATATAATAAAATATTTAGTTTTAGTATAGTAAGGATAAAAATCAAATATGATAAAAATTTAATGACTAAAATAAAAACATATCACAAAATAAGAACCAAAAAAGAACATAAATTTTTACTAAAAGACAAGAAAAAATATTTATTATAAAGATAAAAATCAAATATAATAAAATTTTAATATTTATTATAGGAAAAAAATCAAATATAATAAATTTTTAATGAACAAAATAGAAAAATATTATAAAACAAGAACCAAAATAAAAAAAATTCCTACGAAGCTTAGCTAAGTAATCGAAAAAAACAAAAAGAGGCAAACAGTGAATCAACATGGAAAGGGCTACAACACTTTCTCATTTTTTTTTTAGTATTTCTTGTAATAAAATTTCAGGGATCAAATGAAATAATTTGAAAATTAAAAAAAAAAAGAAAACATCTAAGAGTGAATAGTACATTATGATGGTTAAAAAAAAGGAATAAATAGTACAAAAAAAAGTTTAGGATAGTAAACTTTATTTAGTTTTAATATAGCAAGAATAAAAATCAAATATGATAAAACTTTAATAACTAAAATAAAAAAATATCACAAAATAAGAATAAAAAAACATAAATTTTTACTAAAAAAAATTATTATAGGGATAAAAATCAAATATAATAAAATATTTAGTTTTAGTATAGTAAGGATAAAAATCAAATATGATAAAACTTTAATGATTAAAACAAAAACATATCAAAAAATAAGAACATAAATTTTTACTAAAAGCCAAGAAAAAATTTATGATAAAGATAAAAATCAAATATAATAAATTTTTAATGATCAAAATAAAAAAATTATAAAATAGGGACTAAAATAAAAAAATTTAATTTTAATATTTATTATAAAGATAAAAAAATCAAATATAATAAAATTTTAACGATCAAAATAAAAAAAATACAAAATAGGAGCGAAAATAAAAAAAAAACTAAAAGTTTTCTAAAAACTTGGCTAAGCAACCCGAAAAAAAAAAAAAAAAAAGAAGGAAAAAAGAAAAAGCAAGGGCAAACGGAATGAATAGGAAAAATAAAATTAAAGCATAAACCTATTGCCAAGATGCGTCTATCCAGAATCGAACCAGAGTCTATTGCTTGGAAAGCATTCAGCTTAACCATTAGACTACCAATGCTTTCTCGTGAATAAAATGAAACATATATATATATACATAATGATGAACAAAGCCTTATATCTTTTAGAATCTTACTAATTTCAAATAAAGTACCACGTGATCACTTTATTTGGTGTAATATTTTTAGCACACAATACAATATTTTACGTTCAATAATGATGTTTATTTCATAATTGAATTAAATTTTTTTATTAGATTTTATTAAGTGACAATTATAGGTACAGTTGATATTTTTTTTATTTATAATATGAACAAGTTGGGTTATAAAAAAAAAATGTCTAACAAGACTGTCATACTAGTTCTACATAATATCTTATACTAAAAATTATATTTATATCAGTCTCCACAACTGAACATATATATATATATATATATATATATATATATATATATATATATATATATATATATATATATATATATATATCAAGCTCGTAACAAAAACGGGTTCAAGATGTTCTTTCAATTCACATCTCAATAATCCGTTTGCTTGCCAATGTGATGAAAAAAATATTTCGTCCAATTTTTGTTTATTGAATGACAAAAGTTGAAAAAAAGATGTTTCGTCGTATTAAACGGAGAAGGAAAATATGTAACCAAAAATATTGCACGAAATAAAGTGATCACTTAAATACTTTATTTGGAATTCAACTCTGTATCTACTTGCAATTTCTCACATCAGTGGCGAGGCCGCCTTATAACCAAGAGTGTCAAATCGTCAATTAATACTGCTGAATTTAGGAAAACATCTATAAAATATATTGTGTTATTATTAAAAATTAAGAGGTTTTGAAGGTCAGGTAATAAAATGATTTTGCTATAAGAACTACAAAGTTTTGCTTACGAAATTAATCAAATGAACATTAAATAGGTTTTTTTCCTCCCGCTTTCAAGCATTTTGTCTTGTATAGAGAACACAAAACTGCCACTTTCGAAAAAAATTATCTTAATTAAAAAATAATTAACAATACTTAGAAAGATATATACAAAAAAAAGAAAAAAAGTTTTTTTAAAAAAAATTAAACTTAGATGGAAATATTTTTGTCATTTTTTATGATTCAAATGTGATTTTTTATTTCTTTTCTTTTATTAAAGTGGGTGCGTTCATAGAATAAATATTATTAGTTACTCAATGAATATTTTTAAAAAATATCACCACTTTCCTTTAAAAAAAACTACTGTTAAGAAATTCATTAACACAAAAGAACCCCTTACTAATCTTATTTACCAAATTCATTTATGCATTTTTTTAAATATATATCACATTGTGCATTTAAGTTTTTGGAAAAAAGTCATAACTTAACTAGTTATACGAGTTTTATTTTTTATAAAATAGTTTATTTTATTAAAAAAAAGTCACAACCATTTAATGAACAGTTTGTTTTTTTATAATATAGTTTAGGCAAATTCATAGTCCATTTTATATGTTATGCTTTTACTAAATACACGAGTTTGATTTGATTTTTTTTTCGATACTACTTTAAATTATTATTGTAAATTAACTTACAGTTGACAACTTGACATTTTAAGTTGATAATTCATTATAGACGAAGGTTATTATAACCCAAAAATTTCTCATATTTTTGGTTATTTTATTTGTTTCTTACTTTCTTTTATTTCATTTTATCTCATTTTACTTCATTTTAGAATTTATTACAAAACTTACAAAAAAAATAAAAAAAATACATGCATAAAATTCAAAATACAAAACAAAAGTCAAAACAAAAAAATGAAAAATGATGACAACAAAAAAAAGAAAGAGAGAATTTGATTAAAATTTACTTTTAAGGATCCAATTGTGATTTATTTTAGAGTACTATTTGTTAATTTCCAAACACCTAAAGCTAAGGAAAACTATTGAGCAAAATTAAGAAGCGATTAGAGACAATTGAAACTAGGGGGACCAAAATAATTATCACGAAGAGCTTAATTGTAGAAAAATTAAAATGAAAGAGGATAGAATCAAAAGGAGAAAGTAGACGACGGGACGAACTTTGCAATTTGGTCACGGACGACCGTCATCCGTTGCTAGAATTAAATGGTGTACACCACTCCTCCTCTCCTTTGTTTTGAAAGGGATGAATAGTAGCGTATTGTGGATTTTTTTTACAGAATGTAACAAACTTCCCTTGGTCCCCACATTTTTGGACCGCTAGCAATCCCATTCTCCCCTACTTGGTCCGCAAGATATGTTGCTTCCAAAAAGAATAAGAGGGGAGTGCAAAAAAAGACGTTAGCAGTTGTCTCCGGTATGAGCAAGATCAAACGACCAGCTAGAGAGAGAGAGAGAGAGAGAGAGAGAGAGAGAGAGAGAGAGAGAGAGAGAGAGAGATGAAGGACTGCGATGAGCTAGGAAAGAGATATAAAAACTAAGCTTTAGGATTGGCGAAGTGTCGTTACATGACATCGAACGGGACTCTCGAAACAATTCTAAGTTTTCTAGGTTTTCGGAGATGTGCATATCTTATTTGCAAGGATTTCTAAGTATGTGAGTTATTATTATGTTTGGAGTCGCCACGTAGTATTAAAGGAACTAGTAACCTAAAATATCACTTATGCGAGAGATTTTAGGGTAAGGAGTTGGTTACATTTTGGATAGACAACGTTTACCCAAAAAAATGTCCTTTCATAAGAAAGGTATCACATTTAGTTTAGTCTTAAATTCATCTCCCTAAATCTTTTATTTGTGCCTAGTTATTTTTTATTTAAACCCAAAAATTTTTGAACCAATTTAGAGGTAAGTGATATATCATTCGATGAAAAATTGTCATCGGTTCCTAAGAATTTAAGAGACTCAATAATTCTCCTATTTATTAACTATTAATCTAAATATTAGCATTTCAGAAAAAATCGTCATTAGTCTCTAAGAATTTAGGAGACTTGACGGTTCGTTTATATTTTAGTTATAAAACTAATTATTGACATTCCAAAGAAAAATCGTCATCGATCCTTAAGGATTTAGGAGACTCGACAATTCAGCTCTCTATTAATTATTAATCTAATTATTGACATTTCGAGAGAAATCGTCATCAATCCCTAAAAATTTAGGAGACTCGACCATTCACCCATCTATTGGTTATCTAGACTAATTATTAACACCTTGAAGAGAAATCTTCATTAGTCTCTAAGACTTTAGGAGACTCAACAATTCATCTATCTTTGGATTATTTGAACTAATTAACAACAACAAAAGTAAAATATCTTTTTTTTTTTTTGGTTGATAGAGAATTCATTTTTTTATTATTTATTTTTTTTCAATAGAGAATTCATTTATCCGAACTAATTATCGTTTCTTTATCTAACCTAATTATGGAAATAAAATTGATTATAATTAACTAAGTACAATTGCTAGAAAACTAGAATATTAAAATCTAAAATTAACCATGAAATAAACATGCATAAGTAAACATTCAAGATAAATTATGTAAAATAAAATGAATATATACATAAATACAATAAAACAAACAAAAGAAATTTTTTTTTTTTTTTGGCAATGCACCCTTTGGGTCGAGCTTAAAGGGATGTGATAGTTCAACATCTTCCATTGACTAGGTTAGTCCAGCTTTGTTATTTCTTCTTGGGCCTAGGCTAGACCTAGCCCATGCTATGTATTTTTAGTTTGAGATTGGGTCGGATCGAAACCAGTCCAAGTCGGTCATTTAAGGTCGATCGGGTCTAACTCGTGCTCGCTCTCTTTGGGCTAATCCCACAAACAACACTCTATTTTTTTATTTTTTATTTTTATTTTTATTTTTATTTTTATTTTTTGGATACCATGCCTCATCCTTCTCTATCTTTAGCACTTAAAAAAGGCATACCAACCGTTCCTACCGCCTTCATCTACAACTTCGCAACTATCTTCCTTAACCTTTAGAAACCTAGTCTCATCATTATTGTTTCATGCTAAGAAACAAAACACAGGAGAAAATATGGATTGAGGAGCATCATACAGATGACGATGACGAGATCATTGTCACATATTCAACACATCAAGTAAAATAAATAAAGCATACTTAGCAGAGAAATAAGACAGGATAAGTTAGAAGATTACCCGAATGAAGATGAGTGTTCGACAATAAAATAAAGAGAGAAAATACTGGTTCAATCGAGAGCACCTCTCGTTACTCAAGTTCAAACTAACGAGTCCTCGTTTTAGACTTCTAACCTTACATATTTTTTGTTTTCCTTTCTCTTTTCTTTTCCCCTCGCTTCTAGCTATTGACTCATTTTCTTGTTTCTTTTCTTTTTATTTTCATTTCTTTCATCTACTTTTTTTTGTATTTCTTTTTTCTTTTCTTCTTTTTTCCTCTATTTTTCTCTCGTTGTGTGCTCTATATTTTTGGTGTTATCTCTTCTTTTTTTTTGTTCTCGTCTCCCTCCCTTATTAACCCTAGAGGTTTGTTTTTTTATACTCCTTTCTCTCACTCATCTTAGCCCTTCAATGCCTTTTCTCTCTTGTTGGCCATCTAATGAAATATGGTACCCAAAACCTACTAGCCTCTGGTCATTTCTCTTGTAGCAAGTATGGCTTGCGACTCAAGATAAGGAAAGAAATGTTGAGCTGGAGGGAAGGACAAACATGAGGGACCAACATTTGCTTTTTGCATTTGGAGTGGCTTGGCGGCTTGTATAAAAATGTAACAAACTTTCTATTATGGAACTATTCATCCTCTTCATTAAAGAAGGAGAATGAACGAGTGAATTATACCAATAAATTCACTCACGGATGACGAGTCGTTTGTGGCCAAAGTGTAAAGTTCGTCCTATCTTCCAAATTCTCTTTTCAATTAGGTCCTTCTCAATTTTAATTTTTCTGCAATTAAACCCTTTGCAATAATTCTTTTAGTCCCTTTAATTTTAATTGATTCTAATTCCTCCCTAATTTCCTTTAATGATTTCCCTCCTCTTCCGGTATTTGTAAATTGACCCATAATATTCGAAATAAATTACAATTAGATCCTAAAAAGACAAAATTAATCAATTTTCTTTCATCATTTTCT